ACACTTGCATTATGATGATGATGATGATTTTATTATTAGTAATGGTAATGATGATGATAGTTAAATAATTATGGTAATGATGATGGTTATTTCTAACAGTAATGATGATGATGATTATTATTAATAACGGTGAGGATGATGGTTATTTATAACGGTAATGATTATGGTTATTAATAACGGTAATGATGATGATGGTTATTAATAACAGTAATGATGATGGTCAATAATAACGGTAATGATGGTCAATAATAACGGTAATGATGATGGTTATTAATAACTGTAATAATGATGATGGTTATTAATAACAGTAATGATGATGGTCAATAATAACGGTAATGATGGTCAATAATAACAGTGATGATGATGGTTATTAATAACGGTAATGATGATGGTTATTAATAACAGTGATGATGATGGTTATTAATAACGGTAATGATGATGATGGTCAAAAATAACAGTAATGATGATGGTCAATAATAACGGTAATGATGATGGTTATTAATAACGGTAATGATGATGGTTATTAATAACGGTAATGATGATGATGGTTATTAATAACAGTAATGATGATGGTCAATAATAACGGTAATGATGGTCAATAATAACGGTGATGATGATGGTCAATAATAACAGTAATGATGATGGTCAATAATAACGGTAATGATGATGGTTATTAATAACGGTAATGATGATGGTTATTAATAACGGTAATGATGATGATGGTTATTAATAACAGTAATGATGATGGTCAATAATAACGGTAATGATGGTCAATAATAACAGTGATGATGATGGTAATTAATAACGATAATGATGATGATGGTCAATAATAACAGTGATGATGATGGTTATTAATAACGGTAATGATGATGATGGTCAATAATAACGGTGATGATGACGGTAATTAATAACGGTAATGATGATGATGGTCAATAATAACTGTGATGAAGATGGTTATTAATAACGGTAATGATGATGATGGTTATTAATAACAGTAATGATGATGGTCAATAATTACGATAATGATAGTCAATAATAACGGTAATGATGATGATGGTCAATAATAACAGTGATGATGATGGTTATTAATAACGATAATGATGATGATGGTCAATAATAACAGTGATGATGATGGTTATTAATAACGATAATGATGATGATGGTCAATAATAACAGTGATGATGATGGTTATTAATAACGGTAATGATGATGATGGTCAATAATAACAGTGATGATGATGGTTATTAATAACGATAATGATGATGATGGTCAATAATAACGGTGATGATGATGGTTATTAATAACGATAATGATGATGATAGTTATTATTAATAACACTGATGAAGATGACTGTGTGTGTGTGTGTGTGTTTAGTCCGGTACAGCTCAGTGATTTCGAGGCCTACCTCAAAGACATGGGCAAAGACTCAGCCTACAAGTTCTCCCTGCAGTTCGAGGTAAAAGACAGTTTATACACACACAGACACGGGTTTGGTGGTCCGGCATGTGTGTGTGTGATGTGTGTGTGTGTCTTTGTGTACAGGAGCTGAAGAGTGTAGGTCTGGATTTGTCCCATGAAGCCGCTGATCTGCCCATCAACAGACCCAAGAACCGCTACACCAACATCCTGCCCTGTGAGTGGCATACACAAGCCCCGCCCACTGACACACTGCCACGCCCACTGTCAGGAAAATAATTACAGTAAACTAAAACAACAAGCATTTTCACTGTTTCAAAATGACTCAAAATTCTAAAGAAATTGATTGTAAAATATTTATATGTTAAAAAATAACGACTGAAACTGACAAAGCGTAAATCCTTAACTAATAAAGTGAACAACAACTACAATAAACACACTAAAATATCCAAACAAATCAGTTTGACCAGTCTAATGAACAATCAACAACTGAATATTAATGAGTACATGATCATTACTTAACGCACAGACTGTTGCTGTGTGTGTGTGTGTGTGTGTGTGTGTGTGTGTGTGTGTTCTCAGATGACTTCAGTCGAGTGAAGCTGATCTCTCTGCACAATGATGAAGGCTCTGATTACATCAATGCTAACTATATTCCCGTAAGTAGAGGAGTAAGAGTCTTCAGCTTGAGCTCCACTACAGCAGACGTGACTGTGTGTGTGTGTGTGTGTGTGCAGGGCTATAACTCTCCACGCGAGTACATCGCCACGCAGGGCCCACTGCCCGACACCAGGAACGACTTCTGGAAGATGGTGCTGCAGCAGAAAGTGCACATCATCGTGATGCTAACACAGTGCAACGAGCGCCGCAGGGTCAGTGCTAACAGCGCATCACTAGCAGAGCGATACACACCGCTAGCAGAGCAATACACACTGCTAACAGAACACACACACTGCTAGCAGAGTAAAACACACCACTAGCAGAACACACACACTGCTACCAGAGCGATACACACACAGTTAGTAGAACCACACTGCTAGCAGAACACACACACAGTCTGACTGCTGAGTGTGTGTGTGTGTGT